TGTGATTGGCGAACAGCTTAGACGGTGTTTCAGTACTGCCACGCCCCTTGCTCCGTCTTTCAACAAAAGCTTTTGGACGAATCTGTACTCCCTGTACTCCCTCATGTTGTGGAAGCTGTCCTCAGCTATCCTCAGTAAAATGCGCAGCACACAATAGCAAATTGGGGTTATAATGCTCAGGAACAGAGTTAAAAAATAAATTGCTGCCCAAACATACACACTACACACTGACTAAAATTTAAAAAGTGAAAAATCATAATAGGACCCCTTTAACATGATTGATTGATTGATTGATTGATTAATAAGGGGGTGCTGGTGAAAAATTTTTAAACTAAACAAACAAACAAATAAATAAATAAAGGAAAAGTTCACCAGTTTGACATTATTACAGTTTTGGTCTGCTATTCATTAGTAGTTTTTATTTTTCTTATTTAATATAAAGATACATTTTTTTCCACATATTTACATTATTGTTATTTTCACAGTATAAACAGGACTTGTCTTTATACACAGAAATATATAGCTTATATTTTAGGTGTCCCACAAAGAAATCACCAAAAAATAAAATAAATCGAAAACCACTTTTTTAGCTAAAAAAGGTAATGTCTGTAATTTATGCAGCACTGTATATTATCACTGGTCAAACAAAAATATAGCCCCGCCCCACTCTCTTGTCATTGGTTGAGACAGTGTTGCTGTAGTTGGGATTCTTACACGGTCATTGTGTTTACACTTTTTTTTGAGGGAAAACATACAGATAGCTTACTTATTTGAACATCCAATACAATATATGCATTACTTTTAACTTTGTGTCAAAGCAACAAGTGATTCCCTTTAAATGGTTTCTAGCTGGTCCAAGATTACTATTTATGGTCAATAGCCGGTTCATGCAGGTCTAGATGATTAATCAGATGGATCGCCAGTATATTTAGATCTGGTTAGAGCTGACAAACCACCTTAGACCAGCAGAAAACTGCTGCTATGTTTCAAAAACCAGCATGACTGGGTGTTCAGAAATGTAATAACTCTTTGTTTCACGCATTTCAGAGAAACTATGGTATAAACTGCCGTCTGAAGGAGCGCATCGAGGAGAACGGGTATAACACATACGCATCCGCGGAGTGGAGGAACAAGAAGCGCCAGATGTTTGTAGGTCTGAGTGCTCATGGAAGGCCTCTGCGCGGGAGAAAAACCCGCAGGAAGAACACAGCTACACACTTCTTACCCATACTGGTGTGACTTTTGTTCATAATGCTGACGGGATGGAGAGAGCTCGGTGATAAAGACTTTGTCCACACGTGACTCTCTGTAGCGGCTGCGCTCCTTTCAGACGGTTCAGTGTTTGCTCTTTGGTTCATGGCACTAGATGAAACTTATCCCCATGCCAGTTGATATTAAGTGGTAAACATTCGTGAATGCAGGCTTTCATTTCCATTGTGCATCATTCCAGTAATCTAAAATTATGGATTATGTGTGCAAGAGTTTTCTCTTTAATAGGATCATGTGCTTAAGAACGTCTGCTTTCATTTCTTTCTAATGGACATGAAGATCTTGTAGGAGCGGCTCTGAGGCTGCATGCGTCGCACGGAGAAAGAGATAGTGGGGATGTATATGGGAAATTTATATCTTCTGAAAACTGTTTTGGACTGCTTTGAAATAATGAAATTATTTATTTGTATTGTATTTAAATAAAATACTCTAAAAAAAACATATTAAAAGCATATAAAATGGATAACCTCTAATTCCTGTGAAATAAAATCTATTTTGTTATCCTCCTGCAGAGCAGCTTGTGATGTGTTTTATGTTCACGAGAAGCAGAACTGAAGGTGAATCTCACAAAATGATCAGGTCAACCCAAAATCAAAAAAAAAAGAACTGAAAAAGCTATTTTATTTATTTATTCTTTGCATCGCAACATTACTTTCATGATAAATAAGCACGTCTCATTACCATAATGCATCTGAAATGTATACTATATATTTATGCTTTTTTTGTAATTTCACTATTCTTATTTGTGATTCTCATTAGACTCTCATTAATGCAAGTATTTCAAACTTACTGTAATACAAGAGCTTTTTTTATTTGAAATAGCCGATTTTTTATGGCAGAAATACTACAGTCTAACAAGGCTATTGTTATCAATAATAAAAACTAAAACTATTAAAAACATTTTGTTAATTGAAATAAAGCTGAAATATAATCAAATCTAAATATTAGATGAAAAACTTCGAATTAGAAATGTTGCATTGGCAACTAACTGAAATAAGTTTAAGTTGAATCGTTGAAATTACTAACTCAATATAACAAAAAACTGCACCTGAAATAAAAAAAATAAATAAATTCATTAAATCTAAGTAGTGGTTTTAAAACACACACACAAAATTACAAAATAAAAAATACAAAAAGCACATAACAAAATTACGTAACTTTCCAATTAAATTAAAATAAAATATATAAAAATAAAAGCTAATTCAAAATATTGATGGAAAAACTATAATAAATAATACTACAATAACACTGCAGTCTATAAGTACCTTACATTTCAATTTTATACAGCAATGAGATTGATTGATTGATTGAGTTGTTAGTTAGTCAGCGTTACTATAATAATTTAATCCATTAATGGTCAAAATAATTTTATTGGAACAATATGAACTTCCCACAACCTGAATGTTGTTTGGTTAAAAGCCTAAAATGATTGTGAGCTGAAAGAGAGGTTCGGCTTACACCCTCCCAAACTCACATAAAACAAAATTAAACATACAAACAATTTCACTCATTAACTTTTCCACTCGCTCACTGACTCCTTCAAATCATTTGTTTAGTTTCACACCTTTTGCATCCACTTGTAATAATAATAGTTGTTCCATTTCCTTTACACTCAGACAAAAAACATTCAGTAACGGGAACTAAACCCTGCTATCTGTTATCTAAATAGTTCTAGAAAATTTGGGGAGCAAAAGGCACACATTCAAATAATGTGATCCAGCTTTAAAAAAACACGCAGAAAAAGACTTGAGGCAAGTTTTCTGATGAGTGCTTGTTTGGAGGGGTCGATTCTGACACACATTTTTTAGGTAATTTATATATATATATATATATATATATATATATATATATATATGGACTAAAATATATAACATCCCATGCATTAATAATAATAATAATATTAGTAGTAGTAGTAGTAGTAGTATTACTACAGATTATCTAGATTTATATAGAACAAGGCAGATTTAGACAGAATTATTTTATATAAAGAAATTGTAATTGTTTGAGTTTTTAAACAATATTTTATTTATTTTACTTTAATTGTACATGTTATTTATAATATGATTACATTCAAACTTTTGTTTAAACACAAAGTCACTCGTCCATGAGATTGTCATTGCAGACTGACAACAGCACATTCATAGTATACAAATGAACAGAAACAAAAATAAAATAGTAAGTTATATGGGTTATATTACATAAAATGGATAATACAATTTATATACACAAGAACAGCTTTGTTTTCAAGATATACAGCTGGGGTCATTTTTAAATAATATATTTTTATAACAGAATTAAAAAAATTATAAGTAATTAAACAAAGAACGAAGTTTTAAAGAATTCAATTATTTATAACAAAAGTTTTCAGTTCCACACCTTTATTCATTAGATTTGGTGTATAAGCCCAAGATTATTTATAATTATTCATATTTACTGATAATTACTGTTGACTCATATTACCATGAATGGGAGAAACAGATTGAGTTAAAGTGATTTGAGGTAACTAAGTAAAGTTAAAATATATTTTAAAGGAACCGATTCATAAACACATACATTTAACGATAATTCTGAGTTCTCTCTATATTTTAGTCTTGCAATAATACATGTATAGACAAGTAATTTCCAAAAGTCTCCAGTAGAGGATACCATTCTTTCACAGTGACTGCTGTTTTCATGCACCTGGTCTTGTGGTGGTCTGGGTTCCTTGAGGTTTCTTGATTTGTCTTAACTTGTGATGCAGGCTGGAATCATAAATCACTCCGTGTTCACTCATTTAAGCCAGAAGAGAACTGGTCCTCTGAATGAGTCTGGTTTTTTTTTAGAGATCGGCTGATGTTGATTTTTTTTAGAACCAATACTGATTATTTGCATGTTTATGTGACCAATAACCAATATGCAGAACTGATATTTATTTATTGTTTTACTTTTGATCTTGACATCAGTACTGAACTGAACAAGCAATTTTATTTATAACACTGTCAGTACTGTAATTTCACTCCCTTTTTGCAAAACAAAACATTTACATCAGTAAATAAAGGGGGCTAAAACTGAAAGAAAGAAAAAAAGTGCACTACCATGAAAGTGTCTTTGCTTAATAAAAGCTAAATTAAGAAAACAAAACATTCTAAACCTTCTGAATATCTGAGTCTGAGTCTTTCAACATTCTACCAACACTAATATTAACAATACACATAATAGATTTACAAAGTCAAATGTTTTAAACAGAGAACATAAATAAACCACAGGGGAGTCTATTCATTTTCCGTAATCATTCATTTTAAACTACAGTTTTAAAATGTTCATTATCTGCAGTATGAAATAGCTATGTGTTGTTTAATAGGCTAAAGTGTGTGAAGACAGCTACTTCACTTGAGTAAGTATACATTGTGAGGAAATTAACAAACAAAACAGCAAAGTCATCATTGCTAATACAGAGTCGATCTCAACTGGCGTGTTATCAGAGTTACTAATAGCATTTTTGTCTGTGCATCAATACCTGAGCATCAATAGTATAATTACATTGCTTAAAGTGAAGTGACGTGACATGTGGCCAAGTATGGTGACCCATACTAGGAATTAGTGCTCTGCATTTACCCATCCAAAGTGCACACACACAGCAGTGAACACACACACACCGTGAACACACACCCAGAGCAGTGGGCAGCCATTTATGCTGCGGCGCCTGGGGAGCAGTTGGGGGTTCGGTGCCTTGCTCAAGGGCACCTCAGTCGTGGTATTGAAGGTGGGTCTAGACTAAACTAGAGCTTAAACCAAGCTTAAACTACAATGATTGATTACATATCAATCATTTATGTGCATCTCATTTGTAGATTATTGGCTGATATGTTAAATGAAGCTTAGGCTATCAATTAAAGTAAATCAAGTTACTTTACCTTTAAACTCCGTAATGGCGGTCTCAGAGTTTATTCACTGGTTTATTCGCTGTAACTAACACGTTTTAGTTGACTTTACTTAATGTACAACAATTTGTTAATTATGGTTGTAAAAATCGAGCAATCTGTACTATTTGCGTACTATGCCTTTGTTACTCAGAAAATCCTAGGTAAGATAAATTGATTTGTACGAGTACTATTTTGTTAAGCTAGTTTCTGGTTCCCAACATGCTTTCCTTATAGGAGTAGCTGTTAAAATTGTTGATAAATTCCAAGTTGCAGTAAATGCTCAACTTTTACTGCACTAATAGTTAGCTCAACTTAAATGAGTTGTTTGGAATACACACCTAGTGTTTTTATCTTAAAGGAACACTCCACTATTTTTGAAAATAGGCTCATTTTCCAACTCCCCTAGAGTTAAACAGTTGAGTTTTACCGTTTTCGAATCCATTCAGCCGATCTCCGGATCTGGCGGTAGCACTTTTAGCTGTAGCTTAGCATAGATCATTGAATCTGATTAGACCGTTAGCATCTCGCTCAAATATGACCAAAGAGTTTCTATATTTTTCCTATTTAAAACTTGACCCTTCTGTAGTTACATCGTGTACTAAGACCGACGGAAAACGAAAAGTTGCGATTTTCTAGGCTGATATGGCTAGGAACTATACTCTCATTCCGGTGTAATAATCAAGGAACTTTGCTGCCGTACGTACCATGGGTCTGAAAATAGTCCCCAGCTAGGTAACTTCCAACGTGACCAGCACTAAGTTTGTGTAGTTGGTTATGTTGACAGAAGTTAGCCTATTTTCATCATTGCGCCTGCTGCACCCATGGTACGGCAGCAAAGTTCCTTGATTATTACGCCATATAAAGGTCTTTACGCCTTTTCATAGTGAACTCTTTTTTTAACAAGATCAAAGAAAATTAGATTCTTCATGATATGAGACCTTTAAAAGCAGTTTTGTTAGGAACTTCTACCTTCTTCTCTTCACTCTCCTCTTTTAGAGGAACAGTCTTGTGGTTCTTGTGGTCTGTCACATGACACATCAGACACACACATGTCTGATAATCAGTGTTGGGGAAAGTTACTTTTAAAAGTAATGCATTACAATATTGCATTACTCCCTAAAACAGTAACTAATTACGTTACTTAGTTACTTTTTATGGAAAGTAATGCGTTATATTACTTTTGCGTTACTTTTA